TTTTCAGCTGGGAATACAGGAAAACTCCAGTTTCTCTGATGAATACGTGGCCATCCCAGTCTTGGAAAGACCAACTTAGGCTAGCTAGGGCAGGGTCATTCTGGTTGAATGAGAGACAGCAGCCCCTGGGTCCCAGCCAGCACATGCTGGGCCAGTGTGTCTCTGCAGGAGTCCATCCACACAGGGGGAGTCTGAAGGATGGGCTGATGGGCCTGAGCGATGCATGAGGTGTTTGAAGTTGAGAGCCTAAGAGAAAGCAGTCTACTCACTCATCAAAACCAAAGGCATAGGGCCTCCCTGGTGGTGCAAGGGATTAAGAGGGGAGACATAATTGAATTTTGGGAGGCCAGTGTGACAGCTAATGGTTGATAAATAACAAAAGATTGGGATGTTGTCAATAAAAAATGGAAAAGACCAGCCAGATGAGGCTAATAATGAAATAGTTATTTCCACCCCTCCCTGATGATCCAGATGTTGAGAATATGAGAGAGTATTGGGGTACCATTAGAATCAAGAGAAGTGGTTTCATATTTGACAACTAGCTCTGTGTCCGATGTGTCAGGTTTGAGATTGTGGGGCTAGCCGGGCATCCTAGGCATGTTCTGCAGGTAGCGGTAATTAGCAAATCACACCTGGAGAAGGGGAACACAATAAAAAGGTAACAGGTGAAGGGGCAGACCAGGAAGCTTCACACTGCAGGCTTCACACAACAGGATAAGTTGGCCTGTATTTGCCTTCTTTTGAAGGATTCTGAGAAAAGAGCGCAACCTTAATAATGCTGGCAGTTTGCCAAAGAGGTGAGAGTTCATTTGCTGATCTTATCTCATGCCTTCCTGCCAGGTGGCAAAGTGTATTAATAAACACAGGGAAAGCAGCATCCAGGACAAGAGCAACCGTGCAAACAAATGCCGAGAGCCAGCTTTCCGATCCTCCTCGACCAGGGGCTCAGAGCCAGGACCGGATGTCTGGGGGAGGAAGGAGTAAGAGGCAAAGATGGGGTCTCCTATGGGGATTTCTAACCCCTAAAAGACTTCTTTTTCAGGACTGTAGGGACAGGGTTGAGCAGTGTATAGTGTTGTAGGAAATGAAATCGCCGCTGCTGATTGTTAGACCTGCAGGTGACCTGGGGGCCCTGGGCTGGACTTGAGAGGCTTCCAGAGGGTCCTTCAGGATGGAGGTGAGGGAGCAGAAAGGGCTTTGAGGATATTTACCAGCCCCAGTGCTTGAGTTGGACACTTTGGCATGGATTAGAATGTATGATTTTGTACTGTTTTCCTTGAGGAGAATGCGGTCAGGGAGGAGCTAAGTGGGGAGATATTACAGACCCCCCTTTATCATTGTATTAAAAAAAACACGTACTGTTTAATTTTCCATCTTGACCATTTTTAAATGCATGGGTTAGTGTTAAGCATATTCGAATGGCAGGTTTCTAGAATCTTTTCATTTTGCTGAAACTTGATTCTCTTGAGAAACACTACTTCTCCTTCACCCCAGCCCTCCTCAGCCCTTGGTAACCACCTGTCTACTTTCAGTTTCTATGATTTTTGATTACGTTAGTTATTCATAGGAGTAGAATCACACAATATCTTCCTTGCCCCCACTGCTCTAAAAAAATGTGTTTTAATACATTCCTGCACCACACTCTCCCATAGTAACTGTGATTTATTTTTAAATTTTAGTTATTTTTATTGAGGCAGCTTAGGTTCACAATACTGTATATGTTTTGGGGACATAGGGTCACACCTCATCAAACATATGTTATCATATCACACCTACAACCAATGCACCGCACCTGTGATTTTACACACACGTACACACACATACACACGCACACCCCTTCGAAGGAGAGAAAAAGGAGGAGCAAATGCTTACACAGCCAAATTTTGGGTGGGGATATACATAGAACTGGAAAAAGAGCTCAAGAAATTTTGATGCCACCCTCTTCCCCAAAGAATGTCTTCCCTCCTTGCTGAGAATCACCATTGTGAGAATCACCTTGTTGAGAATCACCATTGACAAAAAGTAGGCAAAAAAATAGAGTATCCCCCCACCAAAGTACAGGATGCAGAGCAGAAGTCAGTCACAACATTTATTGAGCATTTATGTGTGCAGAGAACTGGACAAAACACCAGTAGGAAACACTGTGGAAGTTCAACAGCTACTGTCATGTGCCTCATGAAGATCACACTTTAATTGAGTAGAGGGACAGCTGCTAAGCACACACAGATGTGTGGCCAGCGTGCAGACAGGTGCCTGGCTCACCCCTACAAGTTTGTTACGAGCAATGACTGCAGTCATCAGGGTATGAGAAGACGCGGGGACAGATGGGCTAAGTGAAGATCAAAGATAAATCCCAGTGTCCAAGTTCTGACTAAACTGCTGCTTAGTAGAAGCAACCAGAAAACACTAGAAAATACTAGAAACTTGGGGAATCTATTTTCTTTATTCTACTAGCCACTTCATTTTAAACTAGCCTTTTTTTTTTTAGCACAAAATAAAGGCAGTTGACCCAACAAAACACTAGAATATCTTTATGTAAAAAAAAAAAGTTTTTTAAAGGCTAACATCAGCTGTTGATTGTACCACTTCCAAAGGTCAGGTACAGATTCAGAAAGTTAATAGCTTTTTTTCTTCTTTTTAATAAAGCTTCCATCATGTGAAAGACTTTCCAATACATTTAGTGAACAGAGGCATTTTACTGTTTTAGATCTGAGAAATCTTATTAATATTTTTATGTGCTTTTAAAATTATTTTAGGGCCTCCCCTGGTGGTGCAGCGGTTGAGCACTGGGCTGCAAGGCTGCCCGCAGCCTCTGCAGCGCCGGTTTGTTTCCCGGCTGCCGGCGAGTGTCCCACAAAAAAAAATATATATATTTTAAAATAAGGTTGTCAGATAAGACACAGGATCTATTTTAGTGCATGAGACATAGTCATACTAAGAACTATTTGCTGTTTATTTAAAATTAGGATTTAACTGAGCATCCTGCATTTTATATGCCAAATCTGGCAACTTTATTTGAAGATTAACAAACCTTTGGAAATTTCAGAGATTCCCAATAATGGGAACCTAACTTATTTTCATCTACATACTGACACTGTCAGAAGAAAATATTCATTCTTCTGGCAGGAAATTTGCAGATTTTGTATCAAAAACATTTTCATCTCTTAGACATTTTACCATTACCGTTTTAGCAGTGCAGGTTTTAGTGGGTTGAATTTTTACCTTGAAATTTTTGACCAAAATGACCAATTATAAATATTAAAGGAGATTTCAGCCTGAGGAACAGAAAAACTAATGTCCGGCTTGAAAAGTCTCCTGTAATAAATAATTACATCCTCAATATTTCTTCTCCATTAGCACACAATCATTTATGTCCTCGTGCAAAAACCCACATGATGTCACCCACATGTTGTTCAGTGAGCCCCCCTATTTATATCACCTCTTATTACTCTCTGCCCTTCTCCACTGTCACAGTGATCTTTTCCCTATAATTGGAGTCAGTGGGTCTTGGGTGCAAGAAGAGTGAGTCAGTGCCTGTGAAAACAAAACAGCAAAAATCTGACTTTGGAGATGCTTGCAGGCATAAAAACAATGAATTCTTTCTGTTTGTTTTTACTTCCTCCACTAGCATGTACATTTCTTTCTGTCAAAAATGTCTGTTCATTTATTTAAGCTGACAGGACAATATTGCCCTTAAAAATTAAACCAACAGAGTAAAGAAAGATAGATGGAGATGTTGGTGGCCTAGACACATTCTATTATACAGATGCATTTCATGTTATCTAAATGTTGAACTCATGGCTTATTTTAAATTGAGATTTTTAGATTAGAGGAGAGATTTGAGCACTAATTTTGCAGAGAAAAGCAGCTCACAGAAAACCCCAACTGTTGTAAATGAAAAATGGTAACACTTGCTGAGTTCTAACATCCGTTCGCTATTTTTTTTTTCTTTTGAAAAACATCAAAAAGTATATAGGTAAGGGACACGGTTACATGTTTGATTTATACATACACATAAAATCAATCCAATTAGTAACAAATATATACACTGAACTCAAAGGCACAGCAGCTTTGATATTCAAAAGCTATTTGGTAACTGAGTCCCCGTTGGGAGTGTTTCTGCTAGGCCAGCCCCTGTTCTACTCTGCTCAGGCACGCATAGATCCCAACTCTCCTTTGTACCCAGAGGCTTTCTGGAAAAAAGAAAATGTCATATAGGGTGAGAAATTGAGGCAAAGAAGACTTGAGTTTTAATATCAGCATAGCAAGGTGGAGTTCTTCTACAATATATCATTAAAGCAGGAAAACAGCATTTCTGTGCCCTTGTGGCACTTGCCATTCCTGAAGATAAGCAAGCATTCCACCCAGCTTATTTGCCTGGCATTCTCTCTTCTTTTTTGGAAATGCAAGTTGCAAATTCCAAATTTGACACAATGTTCCTATTCTGATGATGACATAAGCTTAGGTCTCTGACTGTCCTTGACTGACCTCAAGAAAAAGTCACTCCGTTCTCTTACTACAGAAAATGGCCAGAGGAGGGTTTGCTTCTTGTTCCCTTTTGTGGCCACAATGAGGAGGGTGGTTACAGAATGTACATGACAGAGTGATGGATGGGCTCCCCAGGGACAAGGCAGTCCCCACAATTCTGCATCAAGAGCAGAGCATAGGAGTATGTCACTATGGGGAGAGCCCACTGTGGATGTTCTAGAACCTTCTAAAGTTCAGCAAGCTCGAAATCCTTATCTGAACAAGGACTTGGCAATGACATTTGCAGCATGCACCCTCTTGGATGCCTGTTACCAACCTGCTTGGGTGTTTTCTGAGGGTGAATGTTACTGAAAATGGCCTGCCTTGAACTGCTTAGAAACAAGTCCTGGCCTCACTTCATCCCTGAATCCGGGGTGAAGGATGAAACATAGACAACGAACTGTTGCTGCTGAAATGGAAACTTCCTTCTCTTTTACTTCCCGCTTCCTTCCCCTGCTTTCTTTTTCCTTCCCTCCTGTTCTTCCCTCCACTCCCCTCCTTGCTGCTGCACCGCAGGGGCTGCCTGCTCAGGGAGGTGGGGCAGAGGCGCCCATGTGGCTGTATGAGTACCTGGACAGAGAGGCCCCTGTGGTCCTGCCTTCCTCCTCCTCCCCCACCTCCCCGCGTGCCCCTGGGGGGCCGGGGTGGGGGCAGCAGGGGAAGGTGGCCAAGAAGCCAAGGCGGAACCGCTTGTTCATGAAGCAGTAGATGATCGGGTTGACGCAGGAGGAGGTGTAGGAGAGCAGGAGGATGAAGGAAATGGGGGTCCCCGAGAGACGGCGCTCGGCCGAGGCGGTGTCATAGGCCCTCCAGGCATTGGCGCTGAAGATGGGCATCCAGCACAGGAAGAAGAGGACCACGATGACCATGAGCATGCGGATCACCCGCTTCTTGGCCATCAGGTTGGCCGCTGAGCTGCTGCTCCTGATGCGATTGATCCTGCTGCTGCTGCTGGACAGCTGCTGGAGCTCCACCTTCCTGGGGCGCCGGGACTTCTGCAGGTAGCACCCGTCACTGTCCTCATACCTGCCGCCGCTGCTGGCGGAGCTCAGCTTCCTTTCTGGATGGGCAAGTGACATCACTAATGCTCAGGATGGTGGTGCCGGACAGAAGGCATGGAATCCCTCCCTCCATCAGAGTGGCCAGACCAAGCTTGAACTGAAGAACTGGACAATCTTGGGCCTGCCCTGCTATGGGGAAGTGTTTTTCTAGACTAACCATTACTTCCAATGAAAAGCCTCTTAAAACTAATATAAGGTATGAGATATGATATATGTATCATATATAATATGATATATATGATATATATTATGGTATAATATAAAATAACATTATGTGTGTAGATTATAAGGATATGTGTGTAGATTATAAGGATAAAAATGATTAAAGAATGGATATTCACACTAGTTCCTTTTCCTCAGATCCTCAGGAGAAAGGCTTCCTGCTTGCTTGGTAAGCCTCCAGAATGCTTTAGTTGAATAATGAATGAAAATCAACAACAACCAAAATAAAGAGCTGAGTGAAAGAGGAGTAAGAGGGCCTCCCTGGTGGTGCAGCGGGTTGAGCGCAGTGCTGTGAAGCTGTCTGCAGCTTCTGCAGCATGGTTCGAGTCTGGGCCGGCCAGGGAGCTACCCACATGGTGCGGCAGACCTCTCCTAGCTTTCCCCTGCACCCCTCAGCAGTGCTTTTGGTCCTTCTGCCTGTTCTGCTCTCTGCTCTGTCTCTGGTGAATCCTCTCACCCTCCCACACCTCTGGCCTGTCCCCCAGTTCTTGTATAGATAAAATAAATCTTAAACAAAAAAGAGTGGAGTAACAAGGGGGGAAAGCTAAGCCAACAAAGGTGTGGGGGTATTTTAGTGGATAGTGAATAGTGGGTGTTGGATTGTAATGAACGGGGAAGGAGAAAAGCCTGTGGCAACTGACTTCAATGTGTTCTGGATGCCGGAGGATGTCCGTTTGGATGCAGCATTATAGTAAGTCTGGATCACGTGAACCCTCAGCTTATAACCAGGTTATAAGTGTATTATCTCACTTCACTCAGCACCTTTTTGAGAGGAATGATTTCTTTATTTTACAGATGAGAAAACAGAGACACTGATTCTCATAACTGTGTCTTAAAACACAGAATCTCCTAAGAATACTTTTGAAAATCTCCAGTCTGCGCTATATGCACTCTGGATGTATCTAAGTTAGAGAAAACCAGCTTTTGTGATCTTTTGGCACACATACACAGCTCAAAGATAGTTACCTCTAGCAGACTTCTTCTGGTTAGCATCAAATTTTATTCCTTGATAAAGTTCCAAAGAGATTAACCCATATGCCACCATCATCACGATTCCAGGAATAAGAAAGAGGATGAGTAACAGGAACGTGTGCCTAATAAAATAAAAAGAAATCCAATAACCAGCCCCTCCAGTATTTCAAACTCAGATGGGATGGGATAAGTAGGATTCATCTCCATTTGAACTGGTCTGAGCAAACACATTAATTACTAGTATTTAATATCCTTGGAAATTCCATGTCTGGAGATTCAGTCATTAGAGCTGTTTACTTCTTTTCAGATAGTGTCTTATGAAGGACTAGTTAAACTGGAGAAGTTTGGGTAATTCTGTGGCTGAAATTAGTCTACATGTAAAACTAGTGAGAGCTTAAAACAGTGAGAGCATGAGGCTTAGATCTCAATAAATCTTTTATCAAAAAGAAATTACAATAGCTGACATTCACTGAGAACTTAGTGTCCTCACATGTCCTAAACATTGTGTGTGTGTGTACACATATACATGTAGTTACTATATATGTTCTGTCATATATAAAAATATATGTATTATAATGCTTAGCCTAGGTGTAAATACTTAGCCTTATGTATACTTAACATACTACTATAATTACATACATTTAACGTCCATAGTGGCTTTGAGGTAGATGCTATTATCCTAATACCTATTTTTCAAATGAGAAAACTGAGATTTAAGAGTTTAAATAATTTGTCCAAAGTCACACAGCTAATGGCAGCATTGCGATTTGATCCCAAGCAATATGATTTCACAACCTATACTCTTAAACATCACGATATACCACTAGCTGACTTTTAACAACAGAATAATCAAATGCGTAAGTAGAAATGATGGAAAACCTTGGTTTTGCAAAAACTGGCATTCAGACGGACTCTTTGGCCTTGGCACAGTGCATGCTTGTTATAGTGCCCAGAGGGGGCAGAGCTATGCTTTCTCTAAACACATTAGATTCCTGAAGAATTGCAGCCTCCTCCTCTATGAGTCTGGGCCCTAAATCACTCTTGCAGTCTGGCATGTGTAAGGTTACTTGATTAGGCCATAAAATTGTCAGAGGCTCATGGAGGCTGGGCCATTTCTCATTTCAATTGGACATGTTTTGATAAGATTCCTTTCCAAGTCTTGGAAATGTCACTCTCATTTGCAACATAACATGTGTGTGTGTGTGTGTGTGTGTGTGTGTGTGTGTGTGTGTGTGTGTGGGTGTATGTGTGCGCTCATGCACACGTACATACTACTTGGTTAAAATAAAAAAAGGGAGGCAAAAAAAGCAGGGATTCTCTGTTTTAAGTCATTTTTGAATGTCTAGCTCCCTGCTTCTAAAACATGGTGGAATCAGTAAATATAATATGTGAATTGGTGTCCTTTTTTTTTTTTAAAAAAAAAAGATCTAATTTATTTATGCATACAAAAACTGGGGTGTAGGCCAAGGTGCGAGGGGTGAGAGGATTCACCAGAGACAGAGTGGAGAGCCTAACAGGTGGATCTGCTGAAATACACTAGGGAAGCAGCGGGCGAGACAAGAGAGGTCTGCTGTACCATGTGGGTCATCTCCCTGGCCAGGGATGGAACTCATGGCCACTCCGGCGACAGCTTGATAGCACTGATAGTTAACCCCTGCACCACCAGAGAGGCCCCACCAAGTTGGTGTCCTTTTTTAGATATTTAATGACACTCTGAAATCTTACAGTTACTCAATGAAGTAGATACAAGAAATCTATATTATTAAATTCCTGTGTGTATATATAGGGCCTCCCTGGTGGCGCAGGGGGTTAAGACAAAAATCTATGGAGCTGTCCGCAGTTGCTGTAGCACGACTCTGATCCCTGGCTGGCCAGGGAGCAACCCACATGGTGCAGCAGACCTCTCCTGACTCTCCCGCTGTTCCCCTGAGCAGTGTACTTCGGTCAATCTGCCTATTCTGTTCCCTGCTCTGTCTCTGGTGAATCCTCTCACCTCCCGCACCTCTGGCCTGTACCCCAGTTCTTGTATGCATAAATAAATAAATCTTTTAAAAAATTCCTGTATATATAAAGAATCTGAACTCAGAGAGGGTACTTGAAATTGTCCCAAATCATCCAATCCATAAGCCAAGAAACAGGTATGGGAATCTTGCCTTTTTGTTTTTAGTGAAGTGTCCTCTGCAAGAACTGTAGCTGCAGCTCCAAGAAAAACCACATGGGATTTGGAGTTCATTTTCTGCTGTCTTCAATTCTTTAGGAAATCATAGCCCTCCAGGGCATCTAGCCAAACTTCCCTCAAGACCATCTAGAAGTACCTGCATAGTGGTGAACGGCTCTTCTAGATTTGTGACCATGAACAATTTAATTTGTCCATGTCTCAGGTTTCTATTCTGTAAAATGGGAACAATAATAGGACCTTCCCTGTTTGGTTTTGAGAGGATTAACTGAATTTATATATGCATGGCACTGAAAACAGAGTACTCTGAGGTGTCTAACCAAAGAACACAAAACACTGACTGGAAGGGAAACTTGCCTTCGAGGTTCATAGCAGCACTGTTTATAATAGCCATAAACTCATGCCATTTGAGGCATGAAGGGATGGGATTCTGATAAGCAAAATAAGTCAAGAGGAGAAAAAAAGAGGAGAAAGACAAATACTGGATGGTATCACTTAGAGGGAAAGAGGAGGGAAGAGCTAGTCAGGGAGGGAGTACAACGGGCCGCAGGTCCTCGGTGCAATGGTAATAACACTTGAAGTTACAAGCAACAATGTAAACCTGCATTACAGGAATTAAAAGAAACAAAATAGAGCACTCTAAGTTTCAGCTATCCCTGGGATCCTAGAAAGAGGTTAGAAAGATCCTTCTCAAAGTCTCTAGGAAACCGAATCCCCACCACCCTGAACAATGCATTTCTATTTTCACAAAAACCGTAAAATTATATCGGTTTACATCAAGCAAATGAGCACTATGCAACTTACCAGGACTGCTGCATCACCTCATTTGGCAGCAGAAAGCGACACATGTTAGCTGTCTGGTTGTTATTTTTGGTAAAAGGCACCAAGTCGCTATAAATCGGGTATGGAGTCATCAAGGTGAAGGAGAGGCACCAGGTAGCTGCAATCACTTTCAGAGCGTGGGATTTGGTCTGCCAGACCCGGGACTGTAAGGGCTTGCAAATCGCACCGTATCTCTCCAGAGAGATGGCTACCAGGTTAAAAGTGGATACACTCACAGAGGTGCCTGGGAAAGGAACACAGAACGCAGTTATGTTGGCTCAGAAATCCCAGTTTTGGGACTCCCTGGTGGCGCAAGGGGTTAAGATGCAACCTATGAAGCTATCCACAGCCTCTGCAGCACGAGTTCGATCCCCGGCCCGGGAGCTACCCACATGGCACAGCAGACCTCTCCTGTCTCGGCCGCTGCTCCCCTCAGCAGTGTATTTCAGTCAGTCTGCCTGTTCTGTTCCCCACTCTGTCTCTGGTGAATCCTCTCACCCCCACACCTCTGACCTGTATCCCAGGTCTTGTATGCATGAATAAATACATCTTTTTTTTTTTTTTAAAGAAATCCCAGTTTCTTTGCACACTGCCTTAAGTCTGATTTGCTTTGATATCAAAGGAAAATGCTCAGAGGGTAAAGAAATGCACATATATATATATACTTAAAAATGGTTTATTCTCAGCTTTGTTCCAAAAAGGAGTTAAGCTAGTTGAAGAAAGGTATTTGCAAATATAGCTTAATGTCAATTTTTAAATAAGCTTGTTGAACTTTGATTATAATGAACTCTTTAGATGCTTCTTAATTAATAACCAAGAGGATGAAATCTATTCCTATCCCACCTACAGAAAAGTTCTAATTTTAAATTCATTAAAGGAATCTATGACACACCCCTCCCCAGCTATTAAATAAAAACCTGTTCTGGGACAGAATTTGCTGTGTTTTACTGGCTTTGACCCCAAAGAGTTGGTGACATTTAAATCTGAGAGCTCCACAGCCCTTGGAGTCAAGCCTAGATGGTGGACCATGGAGAGAAGCAGCTCACCACCAGGCAGGCCACCTTTTTGGATTTACTTTCACTGCCTAGAGGAGTGTTATGAATGTTAGCTGCTGATAACCGTATTGAGATGAATACAAAATTGAGTGAATTAGAGATCCCACAAAATCATGATGGTATAGCAAACACATCGTGAATTATCTTGCTTTTTATCTTGACTGTTTTCCACAACTTTTTCCATTGAGGTGAAATTGACATGACATAAAATGAACCACTTTAAAGTCGACAATTCTGTGGTCTTCAGTACAAGCATCATGTTGCACAACCACAAAGCATTCATTTTAAATCTTTCACACACTCTGGTTAAGATTCTGAAATAATATCATCGCATCTATGTGTGTGTGTGTGTGGGGGGGTATATAGAGAATGTAATTCTGGTGCCATATACATACATCTGGAGGGGCCTTGACAGCCTGGGGTGCTATGTCATGCTAGTTGTTATTATTGCTTCATTTTTAAAAAAAAGATTTATTTATTTATTTATACAAGCATTGGGTACAGTCAGAAGCATGGGAGGGTGAGAGAACTCACCAGAGCCAGAGGGGAGAGCACAGCAGGCAGACTGACGAAGTACACTGCTGAGGGGAGCAGCGGGCGCGGCAGGAGAGGTCTGTGCGTCATGTGGGACCCTCACCCGGTGGCTGAGGATCGAACTGGCCCTGCAGAGGCTGCGGGCAGTTTTGCAACCCAGCGCTTAACCACTGAGCCACTGGGGAGGCCCTATTGCTTCATTCTTTAACACTGGTCCTTTTCATTTAAGTCCCTTTTAATTTTCAGAGGACTTGGACACCAAGCCACACTTCTTGGTTACTTGTCCGTGGCTTGCAGATCAGCAATTCATCATCATTTTGTCAGAGCTGGAACCCGCTTCCTCAGTTGGGAGAAATAAAGGCTTTTAAAGCTTTCCGGTCACTGAGGACGGCCCCAGCCCAATCAGCTCTGCATGTTTTGCAAGGCTTAGTTCGGAACAAAAAACAGCTCCCCCCTCGTTTCCCGCCTCTCCACCTCCTGTCTAGTTCTCAGAACGGGCAAAGGACAGGGCAGCTTGGCAGCCAGAGGGTCCCCAGAGCCATGTCTTTGTTAGCCCAGGACAGCCAGAGCAGGCGCAAAGCGAGGCAGGGGACTCACTGGCCACTGTGGCAGCTGCTGACCCGGGTTCAAATCTCAGCTCTGAGGTTCCTGCCTGTGTGTCTTTGGTGCCTGTTTCCTCCTCAGGGAGCTGGGAACAAAAGCTGTCTTTCCCTCTTAGGTTGGTTGGGGGATAAAATAAGATCACAGAAGTAAAAGCATTTAGCACAATATCTGGTGACTAAAAAGTACTAAAAAATATTAGCTCCTGTGATTTTTCTAATTATTATTTTCACCATCATTTTAAATGACACAGTCAGAGAGACGCACATCTCAGCCAATCAGGGCCAACTTAGTGACCCCACAGGCTCCGGGAGCAAATTCAGCTCCTTGTCTAGGGCAGACCTCTCTCTTTGTCTCTCTCTGCTTGTTTCTGTCTCTGTCTTTCTCTGTCTGTCTGTCTCTCTCATTGCCTGAGGTGGCCCAAGTTTTTGGGGTAACAAACTAGGAAGTGAATTCTGAGAAGGGGATCTGCAGTTGTAATGAAACTAGTTTTCAAATAACCCCTGTTTCCTAGGAAAGCAAGAGCAACACAAAGCAACCCCTCCTCCATACCTGACACCCCCCCAAAGTCATGCCATGGGTTGGGTAGAGCTCAGAATACAATCAATAGCTTCCAGAAAGGGGCAGAGCAGCTGAAGTCCCTCTTTCTAACAGCAGTAAGAGAAACCAGCCTCTCTGTGGCTTCCTATCAACTTATTCCACTTTGAGAAAGTGACCTCTGAAATCTGCAACTAGGGCTGATCCAAAGATGAGGAGGACAGACACCCCCCCCCCCCATAAGACCAGAGCTGTGTCCTAACACAGAGCTGCACACGGCCAGCTATCTCCTTTCTTACAACTCCACAGATCAGTCAGGGGTTTGGAAAGATCTAGAGCTGAGTGGGTTTGTGGCCAGTCAGCAGCAGCAACTCACCCATGAAGTAGGTGGTGGTCTTGCAAACCGCGCTCCCGAAGATGAAATCCTTGAGCAGGTTGGGGATGAGGTTGAAAGGCATGCAGAAGAGGCAGAGCATGAGGTCGCTGACAGCCAGGGAGAGCAAGAAGATGTTGGTGACAGTTCTCATCCTCTTGTTCCGAATCAGGACCGTAATGACGAGCGTGTTTCCCAGCACGCTGAGCAGGAATATCAAGGAATACAAAAGAATCTGCACCGCCGGCTGCCACTCTGCGGAGTAATGGGGACGAGATGGTTATGAGAGCAGAATGTTAAAACCTTAGGATGCAAAGCAAAAGGTTATTGCTCAGTCTTTTTTTTTTTTTTGCAGGGATGCATATCATGCAGCCCTACTACGCCTGTGCTTACAATTTTTAGCAGAAACACACTGAGAGGACAGTACAGCACAGAGTGATTCAGTTGCTTCTCAAAGGTTGATTTGTTTCAGGATCTCTGGGAGAGAAACTGTTGCTTAAGAACAAAGCTGCTCAAGTGAATAGCGATTGCTTTCTTTCCTAGCTGCTAAGTAGTATTTTGCTTTAAACATTTCTTCACGCTGGGTTGCCCCCAAGAAAAGGCAGCGGCTAGCTGGTGACAGCTTCTTTTCTGGAAAGCTTGTCAGTCCAGCTCTGACACTTGTCCACCCTCGTCGTTACACTTCAGTGCCTCCTCCCGCGTCCTACACACCCACCCGGGCCCCTCCAGGGAAGTGTAGGGACATCTAAGTCAACTCTGCTGTTGAAGCTCTGATCCACACTTCTCAACAGATGACTTTTTCCAGCCTGTCTCACCGGGACTCTGTGCTATTTTCTTTATCTGCTTTGCCTTGGCTCATGTCCCTCCACTGAGCAGTTTTGAGAATTGAAATAAGAGGCTCCGACACTTACCTTTGGAAGGAAGGGGCCGATCCAGGCAGAAAAGTGTGTCATTTTCCATCCCGAGTTCACAGGGAGGAGAGATGTTGCTTCCATTCCCAAGAAGGCTGTCGACCACATCCATCCTTGCTGGCTGCTGTCCACCCAGTGCGCTGCTGACGGCTCCGTCCCGGCTCATTCCTCTAAGGACAGTCTCCCGAAGGCCACCTGCCGTGGAGGGACAGGGAGAGGGTGGCTGCCAGGTGGGGGCTTTGTGGCCATTCCTAAAGGCGACTTGACTTCTCCATGCTCAGTTCAGCTCGGCAAACGCTCGCGCTCCTGCCTGGGAGAGGCGAGCAGAGCCCGCTCCACCTCAGGCCCACCCCCTCTCCTGGCCAGCCTCGGGCCCTGGGCAGGACAGCCCGAGCAGGAGTTAACCCTTCCCAGAGATTCGCTGCTCTCACACACACGTGTGCACACACGCGTGGACACACACACACACACTCGGACACCCAACACACGCTTCCCAGTACCTCTCCTCTGTGGGAACCTGTCAGCAGCCCAGACAGCAGCAGCCCAGAGCCCACATGGCCGTGTGAGACAGGAACAATTAACACGGTAACAGATAGGATAATGCAGACCGCGAGGACTGGAGGGCAGGAGGGGCTGCGTTTCTACCTCCTTATAGAAAAGCAATTAGTGCCATTTTAGTTTTGGCGCCATGCCCAGCAATGTGTGTGGATCTAACCGCTGCCCGGTTGTTAAGTTGTTACCAACCCCAGGGTTATTTCTTGTGGTCTCTGCCCTTGTTAACTGGAAGGACAGGGATACTTTTGAATATTGGTGCCTGGATCCTTATTACAAAAAATTGCAGATTAGATTTTCCATTCAGTCATTTTCTTCCTTTGTCCATTCACCCAGTGAGCCTTCGCTGAGTGTCGACCATAAACACGTAAACAAATAAGAGAAAGATCATGTCAGATAGTGTTAACCACAGTGAAGGAAATGAAACAGAGAGGTGTGGTGGAGAGGACCGGATGGGGGATGCTCAATGGGGTAGTCAGGAAAGGCTTCCTGGAGGAGGTGGTCATGATCTGAGCTCTAGATGAGGAGGAAGTGGTGGAGAAAGTTGTGATGATTTGAGGAAATCTATACAGGAGGAGTCTGGTTTTTTATTTTAAGCAGAGACCACAGCCTGTGCAAAGGCCCTGAGGTGGGAATCAGATTGGCCCACTTGAGGAATAGCTAGAAGTGGGTTTAAGTAAGAGATAAACCGTGGAAGGAAAGATTAGAGGAGGGACTGGTCAGGGGTCTGGGCTTCCTGTGAAGTTCTGTGATGCTTGAAAATCCTTCATGTACAGATTTTGTCCTCAGTTCAGACCCTTGGGAAAGCAGACAATAGCAGCGGGTCCTGCTTCTGAAATGCTGCCTGGTCTGACTGGGACCTGGTCTACTTGCTGGACCCTGTGGGGCCTCAGTATACTGCCCACGCCCTCAGTTGACAGCAGCATGCTCTAACTTTGCTGAGGCCCTGCCGGACACAGGTGACGTTTCACTGTGGAGGCTTAGGGTGTGGGGTTGGGAAGACAGTGGCTCCTCTCTTTTTTGAAACCACAAAACAGCTCATGCTTGAGGCGCTTAGACATCCACAGAGGTTGCCTTCTACTGAGGTTCACAGGGGGCCCAGCAGCTTCTGCTTTAGCTGGGGGTTTGGGGGAAGGTCCCGCCCCAGGATCAAGAGCAGAAGAGTCCTGGCTTGGTGTTTGCCCTCGCTGGAGCCTGATTTGGGGCACACTCTCCCCTCCTGCCCTCCTTCTTTCCCTCCCTTCAATTCTGTTCTGTTAAGGTGGGCAGGAAGGGAGGGGCCATATAGGGGGGTATAGGGTGCTAGAGAGTTTTAGATGCACAAGGAGAAGCTCTTTAGAATTTATGCTTTACAATCCAGAGCCCCTTGTAAATACCCAGGTTAATGGTTAAAAAAAGGAGATAGATCCCCTCCCGGTGAATCCTTCAGCCCCAGGCGTGGGAGTCTTTATTTTTATCCAATATCCTTGGTGATGGGAGGCCAGGAATCTCAGAGTCACCTCTCAGGAAGTTCTCAGGAGCCATTAAAGAGCCCAAGTGCAGGTAGAGAGCAGGCTGCAGGAACCTAAACCCAGTCTCCACCACTAGCCAGCTGTGCAATGTGTACAAATTACTTTTCTGAGCCTCAGCTTGCTCCTCCTTAAAATGGGCACGACATAACATTACCTGTACACAGAGCAATACAGGGAAAGCGCTTAGAACAATGTCTGGAACACAGCTCTGGATAATAATAATTACAGACTAATACTAGGGCTGCTCTATTCATGCCCATTATTGGAATCAGAGGGAGGATTTGCAGCTCCAGGGCCCTAACACAGTGCCTGGTATGTAGTATACACTTGGAAATGCTTATGAATAAAATGTGAAAAATTGGGAAATACAATCTTTTATATTGCTTATTATTCCTTCTCATAGTGCTACCATATTGTTTCTTTTTCTGACCAACTCTGGATTTTTCACCCTGAGTTTCTGAGCCAGTGTTACCTTAGGGTTAAACTGCAAGTAAAAGAGCATTCCAAGGAGAAACATTAGGAAATGCAAGGAAAGCAGATGCATTTACCAGGGTGTTTGCTCTTCTTCCCGTCCTCATCATAGCTGCTACGCTGGATGCAAGGGGACCAGCCAGGAACAAACTTGACACAACTCCTACCTGCCTGAGATGCTCATCCTCAGGAGACAGCCCACAAATAGAGTGGGCGAAATAGAAGTGCCCCTTTGGCCTCGGAACCCTAGCTTCTGATTGGATACAATTTACTAAATTGATAAAAATTGTCAGAAATTCACAAAATTGAGTTGAAATGAGAGCCTCCCCTCTTTCTGAGACACATGGTGTTGGGAGCGGCCTAAGTCTGGGTGATTTCTAAGGTCCCCTGAAACGTTTTAGGTACTGGGGGGCTCTTGTCTGGCAACTACTGCCCTACCTAGACAGAACATGAGCCATCTCAATGGGTTTCTGGTAAAGAAACTGGTAACTGTTGCACGAATCCTTTTTCCTAAGAAACAATGGTTCTAAAACATCTCAAAGATTGATATGGGTTTCCCCTCATTTTATCATTACTAACATGTGTCACAGGCTCATGGAAAACCTTTATAAAATAGAGAAGTATAAATATAACGCAAATATATCTCAGGGCCCCTGATGGTGCTACTTTCAGAGAAACACAGTCCTGGAGCCCAAGGTAGCTTAGGTAATTGCTTGTTGTGGAATTTACAATTCATAGGGCAGCCTGACATTTCTTAAAATCCTCTGGCTTCTCCTGCAATTGCCCAGCATTTTGCTGGCAAGAATATCACTTGCTAAATTTCTATTCCTTGTTCTTTTCCCAAACTCACTTTTCTGTTTTATTCCTTTCCCTCCTCTGCCACCCCAGACTCTGCTCTGGCCACCCTGGTTACTCTGGAGGGCAGACACGCTGAGGTTCTGGGCACCCTCTGCACCCCACAGAGGGCTGTATATTCCCCCTGAAGTTCTCCCATTGACTATGCTTGGAGAAGTCATGGTGGATCCTTTCTGATAACTAATTCCCCCTCCTCCTATGAAGGAAAGAAGCACCATCTCTGCGAGGCTGGTACTTAGCACTCCAGCTGGGTCCAAGCAATTGACTCTGACAGTGTCTCCATCTCACAGTGAGGACCTGTAAGATGGGCGAGCAGTGGGAACACGTCTTTTAGAAGGCTGCTGGGATATCCCATGTCCCCCTCATGTCACATGTATGGAAAGAACTCTGCAGTGTGTGCTATGTCATAGGGGCTCAGTCAATCATCATCATCATCATCATCATCATAACATTATAGATTGTGAGGGAAAGAGGAGCATGATTATCTGGGAGAAGAACATTCTGGACAGGGTATTTATTATTGTCTGAATATTTTCCTCATTATTGGATAGGAACTCTACTTAAAGAGATGAAGATGATATATAATTTGTAAATGGCTATCATAAGCTACTTCTCTTTCCCCCTTTTAATATAGTAATTGGATACCCCACTGGGTACCCATGTGATTGGCACAGAGCTGCCTCGAATCAATGCTCTGTCTCCCAGCCCCTGTGTAGCTAGACTTGGCTCTATGGCAAGGTTCTGACTAGAGGGATGTCAGGAGAAAATGAGTGTGTAGCTCGAGAAGTATCTTTACAAAGAGCTAGCCTACCCTTTTGATTCCTTTTTATCCTTCCTCTGGCCAGAATGAAGATGTAATCACTGGAGACAGAGCAGCCATTTTGTATCCTGAGGTTGGTGCTATGTGTGGGGCATATGTGTGAAAGTTCTGTCTGAACTCTAGAGAGATGGTGAGTGATAAAAGCACCATTGATTGGGCATAAATCCTCCCTTATAAGCTTTATTCTGCTGTTTCTACTCCTCCTATAGCCTCATGGGATGGGCTTTGATTATTTTGTTTCATCAATAAGGAAATTCAGTGTTCTAGGAATTAGACTTACCACCTCACCTCAAAACTCCCTCCAGTTCTTTGTGGGAACCCCCAGATTAGGTTTCACGTGTCCCCACAGACCACTCTCTTAGGTATATCACCTGGTCCATCTCTATTTCCCCTCACCCCCTTGGCTTCCACCAAGGACATGTCCTATGCTTGAAAGCACTGGAATCCCACTGGGGAACGCCACCATCCACGGAAAGGACACTGCCCTCATGTCTCCCCCACCAGCCAGTCCTCTGGGCACCAACACGCAGAGGTGGGAAGCAAGCACCCACCCTGCTTGGGTCAGAACTTCAGAAAGGCTCCTGTGAAAACAGGTCCATCCGTCCAATCCCATGCCGAGAGCTAGCCCGGTCTCCATGTCCCTGTTCTCCCGCTCTGCTCCCCATCCAAACACTTTCCTCCCCCTCAGTGGAAAGGCCAAAGGCCCCCAGAATATTTGTGGATGCAAAGAGGTGGATGTGACTCTCCATCCATGGGGATGCTGGGGAGGGCTGTGCCCCAGCTCTGACTGCCAGGTGCCCTCCTTTCTGTTTCTGGGTTTCATCTTCACCCCATAATGCTTTCCAGCTATGGCAGGATGAGGCTGCTGCACAGTCAGGTCACTAAAAACCCGAGTTTCACATGCCTCGAGGTGTGGGGAGCCAGCAACTGGGCTCTTACGGGAACCTTTTAGCGACCGGTGCCCGGATGGCTTCACATCCACCCACGTGTCCACTTGCTATTTTGGAATTGTAACAGCTACCGAATCCATTAACTGGACTAGAAGTGAAAGCAATTGGAAGCACAAGTGCCTTGAAATGTTTAAGC